CGTCCGCGCACTAGAACCAGAGCCCGTAGCGGCTGAGCCGCTGGGCACGGCATCTCCGCCTGAAGCAGCGGCACCAGCCGACGGCGCGACGTGGACGAGGACGGCTATGTCGCCCGACGTCGAGCCACTCACCGAGACGGCTAAGCCGCTCGGCGCCGTTGCCGTCGCTGCCTCGTTTAGCTCGTTGAGTGCACTACGCATATGCTCGTCATTTTGTACGCCTTCATCCTCCGATCTTTGGCTCTTCCCCTTTGGTGGCGTTCCCGGCCAGAAAGTTTCTCCGCGCGGCAAGAAGTATACATCGTCTATCCATGGGAAAAATTCATGATATGCGACTCCCCTCTTGAGAAAGTTCACAAAGGCCTCTGAGTAATATGAGTGTCTTGCACCACCTCCAGATCCGTCTGAGACGGCTGGGAAATCATTATCGGTCAAGACTGCCCTACATGGGTGGGCATTAAGTATCGACGTGGGTATCTTGCCCGCAGCAGGAGCCCAATTCTTGGCAAACTTGGCATACCCGTCTTCTCCTGTCGCGCACGTCTTGTGGCCATCCCGGACGGCTGAGCCGCCGGAAGGCTGGCAGAAAAAATAATACGGGTAACTTGGCCGTTTTGGCCAAGTAGTCTGCGCACAAGTCACCAGCGTTCGCGCTCACTATTTGCCCTCCATTGTTCAATTTGTAGTCCGGGTGGCTGGCACCAACATGAAAGGTGTCTCTTGGGCGATGCCTATGCTGCCGGTAAAGGCTCACTCCATCAAGGATCATTATCCTAGGAAGCATTCCTATGGCTTTGTAGTGTTCGGTCCGACGGTTCATTCTGGCTCGAACCAGGGTGGCAACATCGTCCCACATCGGGCCAACGCCACCTTCATCATTCTGCCAGCACGTGTGGCCCCCACCAACATACATTACCTCAATCGCCCCCTCGGGTGACCGACGCATCGCGTCGTCAATCAGCTTTGCGGCGTCGTCTACCATGAATCTAAGGCTTCCTGCAAACGCGAGTGGGTTCTCCTGTCTTTTTGGCCCACCCCCAACTCCGTTCAGCTGGCATGCGTTATCAACGAACTCGTTGAAGTTCCAGAAGGTAAAGCGCATTGGAGTGTGGGTCCCCTTTTTGTAGTGCACATTCTTGTCCCACTGAAACTCTGAAGAGGCATCGCGAATGGCTGAAATCAACGCTCCACTCATGGCGCCCTGTGCACTTCCGAACACTGTTTCTCGCAGGTTATACTCAGGAAACAGGCTGGGCTTCATCTTCCCGGGCCCATCCTTGAAAACAACTGTGGAATCAAAAACAATGTGAACAACATATGGCCCAAAGGACTTCGACCCGCTCTTCATTACGCACAGTGGGCGGAAGAAGTCTGTCACGGGTTCCCCCGTGTTTGACATGGCCGCAAGGTCCTCTCCTACAAACGGGATCCATGAATGTCCGTTAACCTTGGCGATTCGCGAAATGGCCTGACACTTCTTAAGGAAGGTCAGTTTGTTCGCCCGGGTTTTCATTTTCGGATCTGTGATCCCAATATAAGGATCTAAAATTTCGTCCACCTTCTCCTTCCAGTCGTTCGTGGGGTGCCTGGGGTCATCCGCGAATTCTCCCTGCGTCCGTAGATGCTCTAGGACGTTCCAGGGGCCTCGCCCGATGCATGGCGGATCGTCGGGCCCAGCTTCGGCTGTAATGGGACTCGAATCGGGCGGTCCTCCCCTCCACCACCTCCTGGGGAGGTGTGAGCGGGTGGATTATTTCCCGAAGAGGATCCACCTGATCCTGGTGGAGCTCCACCTCCTCCGGCTGAGCCGCGGGGCGCGCCGCCACCAGTTCCCCCGCCGGCTGCGTCGGGAGGGTCAATATTGCCAGGTGTCTGGTCGGCGGATGATCCACCGGCTGCCTGCTGTCCGACTCCAAGGCTGCCCAAGGAGGGCTGGTTGCCGTGCGAGGCTACCTGTTGGCTGGCCGAAGCGACTGTGTCGTTCGGTGCCTCCTCTGTCGCCCGCAGCTTCTTCTGCGGCGACTGCCCTTCGGCCTCTGGATCGAGGCCATCTTTGGCAAACCATTCATCAAGGTTCTGCGGTCTTTTCCAAGGGCGCTGCCTTTTGCGCCAGTGAATCGCCTGCTGAGGAGAAGTCTCCAAATAGATCGCTCTTGCAGTGGCAGTAAGAGCCTCCTCGACAACATGCACTGGCGTATGAGACAAGCCTTTGACCACGGGAAGAGCGAACATCGCCCCCCGGCCGTCCCCGATGGCTGAGCCACGGGGAGGCTTTCGGGGAGAAGGGCCCCAGATGTTCACCCATACCTCAGGGGATCCTTCCGTCCAGTGATCTATCACTGGGACACTCGCGAAGTCTCCATAGATAGTCTCACACCGAACAGCTGGGCCGACGGTGGGACCGATGACCTCTCCTTTCTCGAGCGTTCGAACTGCGCGGCGAGACCCCCCTGGCGGGTCCGTGTGCACCTTTTCATCGGGATACGTCTGAAAGAACGTGCCGATGGGGATTTTGTCCAGGTCAGGGGGGGCGACCTAGCAAAAAGATGAACAAAAAGAAAAAGCGCCCCAATAAGGGTAAACCCGTTGTGGCCGCCCCCGGCAAAGCCGCGGTGACACAAGCCCCCAGCATAGCCGCGGTGGCGAATGCGTCCGGCTTAGCCGTGGACGCAGGGAACACTACTCCTGTAATGACCGAAAAAGGTTACAGCAGAAGCTCCGAGAAAACCATAACGATTGAACTCATAACTAAGAGAAGTTCGGATCGGGAAATGAAAACAATGTTTGACATGGCGGATAGCGAAACTGAGTCAGATACTTCGATATTGCCGAAGAATACGGAAGATATTCCTGATCACAACCTTCTTCGTCCTCATCCTCCACCTGCTGCGGCTGCCGGCTTTCTAAGCAAAAAAGATACATGGACACAACAAGGACAGAGTTTGAAACGATGGCATTCCGTTCCGAAACCTGTTACGCTTATGCCCGCAATCGGTGATTGTCCCGTCGACCCGGAAAAGTTAGATGGTAGGCGCCGCACCTATGCCGTTAATGCCCAGCAAGGTTTGACGGTTGACCGCATTGATAATTGGCGTGAAAAAGAGAGTAAATAGCATCACCCATTTGAACATAACTCGAATGGCGAATCCAGCGATGGCGGTTATTGCCCGAGTAGATGGACTGGATACACAGAGTTCTGGATCCGAGAAGATTGCGCCCCGGCCACTCAGTGGACCGGGGAAAGGTTTTTGTTAGAATACTGTTGTGGCCCTCAGAGCAGGATAGGGGGCCCGAAAAATTTCGTCGATAACTTATGCAAGGTGATTCGATGCACTGAGTTGGAAGATAAGAGGACGGATGAGGGACTTAGACTAGCTTTGAACGAAATTAAAACGTTCAAGGGAAAACATATTACGCTGTGGGGTTCTATGCCTTGCACGGGAGGTTCTCCCTGGCAGTATGTGAACGAAGCGCATGATTTTCGTATTGGAAATCATAGAGCGATCCGTAGGCTTCGTGGTATTAGGACTGACTTCAGATACCTGTTTTGGAATTCCCGTGAGATTGCCCGCGCTGTGCACAAAGCGGGGGGCGTTGTTTGCATTGAGTGGCCTACCCAGTGCAATTATCGGAGAGACCCTCAGGTCAAAGACTTCGTGAGAGAGTTAGAGTTTGTTAAGACGGCATTGCATGGATGTGCATATGGGTTAAATAAAGGATAGCAAGGGTAATTCCATGAAAAAAGCCCTGGACGATAGCTTCTACCTCCTCTGACGTTGCGGAGGGACTCGAGCGCATATGCGACGGCGCACACGAGCATGTTGAGGCTAGAGGACGTGAGTGCAAGAGCGCAGAAGGTTACACGGATGCTTTTGCTAAGCAGGTCCATTTTGTCATTGCTCGTGCTGCAGAGAGATCTGTGTCGTCTCGTCGTCGTCCTATCCCCTCCTCTGATCATGTTTGTGCCGCTGCCGTTTCGTCTCTAGAGCTTGCGCGGGCTGCCCCGCGGCCGGCCCCCTTTCGGATCGAGTGGTCACCTTGCGGTGACTACTCGAGCCTTGCCTGCCGCGGCTCCCGCGCGCCCGAGAGAGCATCGACCAAACCCATGTGTCGACCGCTGGCCGACCCAGCGTTTAAGCCGTCGGGGGAGGACGTTGTTTCGATCTGCTCAGACGATATCATAGACGACCTCGTCTCCGACTCAGTCGAGGCGGAAAACCCAGGGAGAGAGATCAAAGAGAGTGCTCCTCCCGCCACAATTCGAAAGGCCACCCCACCGGCTCAGTCGAGCGGGGAGGCTTGCCCACCGGCTCAGCCGGGCGGGATAGGGGTTAGCGACTTCAGCCCGAATGATGTCATATCCGATGTGGATATCGAGATGGAAGCTGGTGTTGAGATTCGTGGTGAAGAGATAATTGCTCGTAAAAGGGCAGCAGAGGCAGCCTTCCAAGATGGTCAGCCCGCGAAGAAAGCAGTCAACCCCGGTACAGGAGACATCGACTCCTGGAAAGAAAGACCGACCTTTCGATGTTTTCCGGACAAATTGAGAGAGTGGTCCCGATTGGTGCCTACCGGGGCAATCAAATTTGCACCTAAGAAAGGGTGGGGTTGGCGCTACACGATGTGGAGGCATGACATACTGTATATGCGGAGCGACAAAGTCGTGACCTGGTGGAAATCGGGGCCCCATTTCGCGCGGTGGCCTGGGGCTGGCCCGGCCCCGTTGGTGGAGGTGGACCTGTCTTCTTTCGCGGGCTCCTCTCAGCGCCGCCCTCTTGCCGAAGGGCGCCCGCAACTGCGCCCGTCTCTCGGCGGCCGCCAGTCCAATCTTTATGCAGGCTCTGGTGGTTTCGACCTGGATCGCGGCGATGTCTTTTTCGGCGGCGCGGGAGTGAATCCGTTCAGCCCTGCCTTGGAACCGATCGGAATGGGCGACCGTGACTGCGCTATTAGCCAGCGCTGGGCATGCAGCGGCTTCTGACGATGAGCCATCGATGCGCCGGGCCAGCTCGGCACTGCTGCGCCAGGCCGCCCGCGCGGCCTGCCCGGCCAGGAAGAGCTGCGACATCGCGTCGTCAACGTTGGTTACGGATATCTTCTTCAACGCGAGAGGGGCTGCCTCAACCGTCGACCCCTCGATCCGCAATGAGTTTCGGGGAGGGGCTCCTCCCAGGGGCGCGAGCCCCGCGCTGGGCGATCTTCTCCAACGTCGCGGCGTAGCCGGGTCTGCTGCACATCTCCGCCGGGAAGTTCTGCTCAGAGCGAGGGCGCTGCAATCGGTGCTGGGTGACGGTCTTAAGGGCTGCGTAGTCCGAGATGCCGCGGTCGCGACGCTGCTCAGGAGCTCTGACCGCCGTGCCTTCGATGCTCATCTGACTGATCACCCATGCAGGCGTCGCCTTGACAGGCCCCCCGTGTCTTTCCAGAAGTGAGTCGGGTCATCCGCTGTGGGCTCAACCAATTCGTCCAGGACCTGTTCCCACCGGGTGATGTGGCACTTCTGGCTATTAAGCGATTGCTGTTGGAGCTGTCAGGCCGGCTGTCGGAGATCGAAGCGGGCGAGAGCTGGAAAGTCCATATCGGCCGCGATGATGAACGGCCTCCTGCTGGGCGCCGCTTGCGCTCGAGCGTCGGTAGCCAAGGCCTTCGTGATGACGTGGATCTGGCGCAGGAGACACTGCGGTTGCGAGCGTTGTAGACGCGTGGCCCCGCGCCCCCCGCTGCGACGCAGACCTTCAGTGCGCTGCCCTTGGCGTAGACGACCGCCTTGGCCGAGCTGGCCGCAGCTTCGGAGAGCGGCGTCGCTGCGGCGACGCCCCCCTTCTTGCGCCCATCCGCCAGGTCGAAGAAGGGGCCGGGAATTTCCCAGCGCGGCAGAATCTTCTCCATGAAAACCTCGATATGCCGCCTGCTCTGGCGGGCCTCCTGGAGAGCTGCGATGGCGCGGGGCAGGTCGCATTGCCGTGGGTGGTCAGCCATCTCGAGCGCCATGCCACCTCTCCACCGCAGCAGTGCACGGGCGTTCCAGGTCACGAGCGAAATTTTTTTTTCGCAACGGAAGTCGCTGTCGACCCGAGGTACACCTCGTGCTGCAACTGCAGAAATCTGCAAAAGGCCCCACTCTGGTTGGGCGCCTACGCACACGATGGGGTGGATGAGGTCGCGCATGCGCCCCCGTTTGCGTCCTTTCTGGTCCGGGCCCTTGTCGTTCCAGAAGACGGCGTTGGACCCGCGCCCTGGGCATGGCTGGAGGCGGAACAGAGGCGCCCGCCCCCCGCCCCTTGCTGACCCACCCGCTGCCCCGGGCGAAAAGAAGGAATTGAAGTGCGTGGGAACGCCTCGCGGAGAGTCGCCAGCGCCCGCCTGCCCCGGATATCTGTGCGTATTTGGCACAGCGATTCTCTGGGCCAATGTGGTGCTGGCACTGGGAATCGCACCCACCCGTCCTCGTTCTTAAGCGCGCTGGGCGCCTGATGGACACGCCGCGCGGCGATGCCAGCAGCTCCTGTGAACTGAACCGCGAAGAGCTTCGACTGTAGTTCCCCTTCAACGCGGTACGTGCCGACTAAGTCCGCGCCCTTAAGCTGGGAGTCGAGCGACTGGGCAGCGGCGTCTCGAATGACGAGGGCGGACGCTGTGACTATGAGGATAGTCGGGTCGACCTTTTGAAGCTCCGATCTGCAGGCTTGGGGCGCTGTGGAGCGCGGCTGGCGAGGGCCAGGTCCATGCGGAACTGCTCCGCATTTGCAGTTAGATGTCGCTGAGCTGCTTATCGTGATCTTCGAGCTTGCTGCCGTGCTCGCTGAGCTTGGCTGTCGAGCTGGCTCTGGATGCGCTTTTCGAAATCTTTGAGCTCGGGCTTGGCGCGCGCTGTTGCTGCCGCTGCTGCTGCTGGTTCTTCTCCGGGAGCCGCTTTGATAGAGTCCTTGAGCCGCTTGAGTGCCTCGTCGATGGGGGCCGCCGCCGCGCGCGTTGCCGCCGCTGCCGCGCTGGCGAAGGCGAGCGCGCACTCTTGTCTGAACTGGCCAAGGGGTTCACAGGTCTCGATGCTGACGACTTCCCGCGCGTGGTCATCAGAGCAGGTCTCCTGCGCGAAATCCTCGGAAACGTCGCCGTCGCCGCCGACACCTCGACCTGTTGTAGGCCTCGCCACCGCGGCGGGGACCACCAGCGCAATGAACATCAGCCATCGATGTATTGTTCTTGGTGCCCACAACCTTCTTGGACTTGCGAGCTCCATCTGGCATGGGCCTGCCCCCATAGCGCAACAGCGGCTCTGGTGAGGGCGCCGACCACCGCGCTGAGTGCGCGGCCGACGGAATCCCCGACAGTGGTGTAAATGGACGGGAGCAGGCCGCGGACTAGCGGTATCCACTTAGTTCCCAGTGGAACACATGATACAACGTCGCGACAGGGGGGCCCTCCGAAATCGCTCTGCGCCCCCCCCCCCCCCCCATTGGGATAGTTTGCTATGGGCCTCGCCTTTGAAAATCCTCCCAGTTGGACTCATTCTCATGAGGCTCTCAACTGGGATTCGTGATCATGCGCCCTCCGAGTGGACTCCTTCTCATGGGCCCCCGAAGTGGGATTCCTTCTCACGGGCCCCTCTTTGGGGATCCTTCTCATGGGGCCCCCAACGGGGATTTGTTCTCATTGGCCCTCCAATGTTGATTCCCTCTCGTGGGGGCACCACAATTGGGACTACTTCTCGCGGGGCTCCCGATCGGGACTCCATCTCGTGGAGCCCGCAATGGGGGCTCTTCCTCGCGGGCCCCCCAGATCAGATAGTCTCCTTCTCACGGGGAGCGGCGCCCAATCGCGCAACGAAAAATCGAGACGGCAACTCTGCGCGCGCGGCTACATGGCCGACACGAATACCCCCAAAAAGCGAAGGGCGATGTTTGGAGGATCTTCGTTGGACCATTCAAAAATAGAGGCGGGGGGATTTTGGAGGATTTTCACCGATTTCGCAGACCTACAGAACTCAGCGGTCAGCGAAAATATGAAAGCAGTGCCCGATCGCGCGCCCAGCCATCCCAGCCGCGGAGCGAGGTCCCCGCCGGGGCGACGCAACTGCGCCACCCCCGCGCGGGATCCCCGCCAGCGCAGGCAGTGCCTAGGGCCTAGAGGCGCAGCGAGGCGGCACCCCCGTCGCTGAGCGAGACTCCCTACCAATCGCGGAGCGAGACCCTCGCGGATGCGACGCATGACAGCCTGGCCGCGCCGGCGTGGATGAGCAGAAAGATTCATCCCCGCGGGCGTGGGCAAGGCAGGCGCGGGGGGGAGGGCTGGGATCCAGGTGGTGCGATCGCGGACTTGAGCCTTATGAGGTGGTGGGATGCGCGCGTGCGATTTCAAGCATGTTCCCCCACCCCTCCTGCTCCTCTCACCCTCCTCCCCTTTCCTTATACTCCTCCTCCTCCTCCTCCTCCTTTTCCTCGTCGTCCTCCTCCTCCTCGACACTCGGCCCTCGACTCTGATGAAAGTGAAGTTCGGTGACGAACGTTGCCCTCCTCCTCCTCCTCCTCCTCCTCCATTCCTCTTCCTTGTAAATGATTTCTCCCTGTCGCACGCCGAAGCAAATTTTTAGGGCGGTCCGGGCGTTCCGCTTGAGACTTTACCGTTTATGATTCTGAAGCTTGAAAGTTGACAACAGCTTCACAGATGGAGGGCGGGTGGTTTTCAAAATGTGGCTCTCGCCGTAGCGCGGCGGACATTCGTTAAACATTTGCAGGGGTTTCACGGATTGAGGGCGGGTGGTTTTCAAAATGTGGCTCTCGCCTTAGCGTGGCGCACATTCGTTTTAAATGTTGCAATATTTGTTCGGATTGAGGGCGGTTCCTTTTCTTAAAATGTGGCTTTCGCCTTAGCGACGTGCACATCCAAAGTTTCACGGATTTCCATCATCAACGTACCAAACTGGTGTTTCGAGAAGATTCCGGATTATGCGGGTGCATCAAATATGTTGATTCATTGTGGTGAAGTCCCAAGAATGGGTTTCTGGCACGATTCAGGACTGTCAAGACGCAACATTCGGGTTCATCCGTGGCGTCGTAATCCCGAGAACAATGTTTTGGGGTCTTCAAACGACTGTCTTCGAACGAGGCAGTTCCCTCAATGACAATGAACCGTTGTAGGGACCTATGAAGAGGGACCTCGAAGGGAGAATTTATTCCAACATCGTTGATGATTCATAGGTTTACACTGGTCCTCCTCCTCCTCCTCCTCCTCCGCATGCTCCTCCTCTTCGTCCTCCTGCTCCTCCTGCTCCTCCTGCTCGTCCTCCTCCATTCCCTCCTGCTCGTCCTCCTCCTTTTCCTCCTTTTCCTCCTGCTCCTCCTCCTCCTCCTCCCCCTCCAACCTTCCTCCTCCTCCTCCTCCTCCTCCTCCTCCTCCTCCCTTCCTCCTCCTCCACCTCTACCTCCTCCTCCTCCTCCTCCTCCTCCTGCTCCCCCTCTTCCTCCTCGTCCCCGTCCTCATCAATTCCGCCTCAAGCTGTTCCTCCACCTCGACCTTCCTCCTCGCCCCCCCATCCATTTGCCCTCGAGCGTAGCCCTCGATGTGTTAACCCTCCTCTTACCCTCCTTCCCCTCCTTCCCCCGTCCCTTATTTCCGAGCACGGCGGCGACGGGGTGGCCCCCTCAGTCCTGCCAGGGCAGCGCGGGCTCGTCGCCCATCCCCGGCGGGCACATCCGCCCCCGCGGCCGGGGGAGCGATGGGCGGCCCGGAGCGGCTTCGGGCGGCGGGGGGTCAAGGAGGCTGTGCACATGGAGTCCGGTCTGGGCTCAAATTCTTAATCCTTAGATTCTTGCGACAAGTTCAAAGAGTCAAAAAGTTGATGACCAGGTGGCTGCAAAGTCGAAAAGTCGAAAAGTCGATCAGCACGGCTGAAAAGTTTAAAACTTGAAAACTTGAAAAATCGAACAGTTTTCGCACTGGGCCTCTGGGGTTTTCGCATGGTGTAGGGCCTCCTTGGGCCCCTCAGGGCGGGAGTTCTCGCATGGTGTAGGGCCCCTGGTTTTTTGTTGCATGGCGTCGGGCCTCCCAAGACCTCCCCGGGCGGGAGTTTTCGTGTGGTGTAGGGCCTTCCCGGCCCTCCTTCCAAGGCGACAGTTTTCGCGTGTCGGGATTCCAGGGGCCTCCCAGGGCGGTAGTTTTCGCATGGTGTCGGGCCTCCGGGGGGTTCACATGGTGTCGGGATCACCCGGGTGACTCCAACCTAAGACCCATGGAGGCCCAACCGGAAAGAAAAAAAATGGGGCGCGCCGAAGAACCCAGGGGGTCCGGTTTCCGCGGAGGAAAGAAAAAAACCCTGGCGATGGGGTTCGAGCACGGGGGTTACCCCCCCTCAAATTCCGGAAGAGGAATGAACTCCCAGCCGCGGGGGTGCCCGCGCGAGGGGTCCCACCCCCCCAAGCGCAACCAGAGGAAGAAAAGCGTGAGAGCCGAGACTGTAAGTGCAATGCAACAACACCTTAATCGCGGTTGCAATTTGTATTAGTACGGGAACAACTGAATTACAGCCGGTGAGGTTTGAGTTCTAGGGGGCACAATTTTATCAGCTGTAATATGATACCAGCTGCACTCGAATATTTGCACGGCAGGACAACGTGCTCTCTAGGAACAACTGCGCGATAGGACATGATAGTACCAGTTGTACTCAAGTGCGAGTTGTACGGTAGTCGGAGGGGTTCAGGGGTTCCAACGGCAACGCGCGCGGGGAAGAAGGAAAGAAATCTATGCGCCGCCAGGGGTCCCGGGTTTAACGGGTCGCCGCGAAGGTTGACCCCCCGCGGAAAGAAGAAAAGAAATCCGGCCGGGGGGTTGGGGGGTTGAGGGATGAGTCACGGGGGCGATGTGTCGGGCCTCCAGGTGGATCCTGGGGCGTGAGTTTTCGCATGGTGTAAGGTCTCCGGGGGTTTTCGCATGGTGTAGGGCCTCCCCGGACCTTCCAGTGCCAGGGCGTGAGTTTTCGCGTGGTGTAGGTCCTCCGTGGGTTTTCGCATGGTGTAGGGTCTCCCCAGGCCTCCCGGGGCGGGTGTTTTACTCATGGTGCAGGGCCTCCCCGGGCCTCCCAGGGCGGGAGTTTTCGCATGGTGTAGGGCCTCGAATGGCTTTTACACGGTGTCTTGCCTCCCAGGGCGTCCCCGGGCGGGAGTTTCCGCATGGTGTAGGGCCTCCCCGGGCCTCCCCGCACGGCGTGAGTTTTCGCATGGTGTCGGGCTTCCTGGGGCCTCCCAGGGCGAGGGTTTTCGCATGTCGTCGGGCGTCGGGGGCCTCCCAGGGCGAGAGTCTTCGCATGACATGTCAGGGCTCTGGGAGTTCTCGCATGGCGTCGGGCCTCTGGGGGCACACCGTGGCGTGAGTTGTCGTATGGCATATGGTCTCCTAGGACTCCTCTCCTTCTCCGCCTCCTCCTCCTTCTCCTCCTCTTCCTCCTCCTCCTCCTACCCCTCCTCCCCCTCCTCCCCCTCCTCCTCCCCCTCCTCCTCCCCCTCCTTCTCCTCCTCCTCCTCCTTCTCCTCTTGCGTGGTGTAGGGCCTCCTAGGACTCCCAGGGCGGGAATTTTCACATGGTGTACGGCACCTGCGGGCTTTTTCTGGTGTCGGGCCTCCGAGGGCCTCCCTGGGAAAGGGTTTTCGCATGGTGCAGGGCTTCCCCGGGCCTCCCAAGGCGGGAGTTTTCGCATGGCGTAGGGCCTCTGAGGTTTTTGCACTGTGTCGGGCCTCCCAAGGCCTCCCCGTGCGAGAATTTTCGCATGGTGTAGGGCCTCCCCGGGCCTCCTCCCAAGGCGTCAGTTTTCGCATGGTGTCAAGCTTCCTGGGGCCTCACAGGGAAAGGATTCTCGCATGGCGTCGGGCCTACAGGGGCCTCCCAGGGCGAGAGTTTTCGCATGGTGTCAGGCCTCCTCGAGCGTCCTGGAAGGTCCTGGGGCCTCGGAGGCCCTACACCATGCGAAAACTCCCGCCCCGGGAAAGTTCACAGAAGCCCTACACCATGCGAAAACTCCTGTCCCGGGAAGGCCCCCAGAGGCTCTACACCATGCGAAAACTCGCGCCCCCGGGAGTCCACCAGAGGCCCTACACCACGCGGAAAGCACCCAAAGGCCCTAAGCCATGCGAAAATTCCTGCCCAGGAGGCCACCGGAGGCCCTGCACCAGGCGAAAACCTCTTACTTTGAATCTACGGGATGCGAGATGTGCCCATGCTGGGAGCATTTCGTCTGCACAGCGGTTAGCTATGATTACTTACAAGGATCTGTTGGACTGCTGACTTTATGATGGCGTTTGGGAAAACCACGCTCGCCACAGTTATGCATATCTCTGAAACGCTTGTTTGCATGCCACTGCAGCCCCCAGTACTGAGGCTTGCCGCTGAGTCATGCGTCCCTGAGTGCATATGGAGTCGCGTGAACACCGGCGGCGGAAACCATCTCGCCCAGAACCTTGCTGGAAACGATGTGGCCCAAGACTATGTGGTAAATGAGTGTGCTGGCCCTGAATGCCACTGGAAACCAAAATAATTACAACTCAATTGAAGCATCACCAGACTTGAAGCACGGGACTAGGAACACGGCCCAATATGCTTCAAATATAGCCCCGAGACGACACAGGAGGCCCCCACGAGGCCGCCGAGACGGCCCAAGAGGGTCTCACGTGGGGCCAAGAGGCCTCCAAGACGGCCCAAGAGGGGCCCAAGAGTTGTAACGTGGCCCCAGAGACATGCACCAAGAGG